ATATATATGCAGGGGATATATTTATATATTATGTATAAATACACCTGGCACTGATTTTTTTATATATATATATATATATATATATATATATAAAAAATAACACCTTGTTTATAAAGCGACATTTAATTGCCACTTGCTCCCTTTCCCACTCCAGAAAACAATAGTATACAAAATATAAAATATTTTAAATATTTATAAATGTCGCAAGAAAAAAATAGAACTGTACGAAAATATTTTTTTCTGAGGTCCCCTCCCTACCCCGAGGTGCTGGTGGCAGGTTAATGTGCCTTGAGTCCATAGCTGTTGAGAGGGTATGAATATGCTCTGCCTAATACTATCCGGTCCCGGAGGAGCTTAAATAAGACATAGTAGTTGCAGAAGAGGATGAGAGCCATGGAGAGTGTGTGGTTCCACTTCTCTGAGCGCAACAGTGAGTACAGCTGGTAGCAGACCACACTGCCTTCGATGAGGATCAGCAGGTTGAGTAGCCGTAATGGACGGTGAAAGAGGAACTGCAAAGGGACAGTCAGAAAGGTGGAGGGGAAAACCAAATCAATGCTTGTGCATTTTGTTTCAGCAGCAACACTCAAGTTGCATTTTAACCACAGCATTTGCGCATCTTAAGGGAATGGGGCAAGCAACCTACTGCCCCAGTTGTGCCTGGCCCAGGAACAGGTTACTCAGCACAGATCAGTATCCTTCCTGGAGGATTTTGCACAGCTGAGAGGTGACCTTGGAGCTGGGAAGCCCCTTGGCTCAGCACATGCCCTTTGCTAGCAGCAGAAAATCATCGGCACCAAGAACCCATTCCCTTCCCTCCCTGGCTGAGACAGGGGAGCCAACTCTTTCTGACCTGTTCCCACCTCTGGCAAAGCTGCCAACAACTGAACCCACTTGGGACTTGGCCTCTTCACCCCCCTGGGCATTGCACTGTGACTCGCCAAATGACTGAATGCAAACCCTTGTCCTAGCCTGGAGTCAGACACCAAAATAGGTCCCCTGCAGCCCCTGTTTACTGACTTATCCTTCACCCCCTCAAAGTACCAGAGCAGCCTTTTAAGTTCTAATTGTTTTCCCATTTTCAGTGTAGTAGCAGCTGCCCCCAGGCCATTGGAGCTCATTCATGGGAAAATGTAGTGCCTGCAGAGCAGCCAGGGGTCTAGCTACCCTTATCAAAGAAGCATCAGATAGCAAAGGAGGACAGGAAGGGACATGGGGCCTTTTAAGCACACACGAACAAGAGTTCAGCCACCTTAAATCCTCTCACTACACAAACTACCATATTGGCGGTGAAGTTAGAAGCTCTAGCATCACACATCTGGGGAGCACATGCATGTAACCAACCAGGAGCTGTGTGGCTAGTGGCTGCAATTCACCCTGGACAAAGCTCTGGGGGCACTGGCACAGACCAATGCAGGGCTCTTCCAAGCATATCATGGAAGCAGCATATCCATGCTAGCACAGCGCTGCTTTGCACATACACCCAACTTCTTCACAGGGGACCTGAGCTGACAGCTGGCTCAGCATCACTATGAGGCACTTCTGGGCAGTGCAGATGCTTCCTATAGGGCAGGGGCACATTAGTTTCTGTAGCTCTGCTGGGCCTAACAACTCCAGATGAAGTCTTCTGCCCAGTCTTCAGATTGGTTCAAGCCTTATTTGTTCTGTTACAGCTGTGCCCACCCCTCAGCTGCTCCAACACCTCCCCCTACTCCCTCCATCAAATGGCAGGAAACCAGGTACTTGCATAAAAGCGGGCGTGGGAGACATCCGAAGGCACCGCAACATTGTAAGGCCCAACTGCCTTGTATAAGCACCGGCTGTGTCGCACCAGGACGCCCTGTGGCCATATGGTGCTTTCAGACCAGCTGCAG